GGGTACCCTGCACACATGATCTGGCATGCAAGGCCATGACCCATGGGGCTTTCCACAAACCCACATCTGGCCCACAGGCCAGGGGTTCAGCATGCTGTCTGTGATTACCTTTAGTTTGGTTTCTGTTTGGTGTACAGTAAAAAAAAAACAAAAAAACAACAACAACAACAAAAACCAACAACCCCCGTCCCCCATAACCTGATTGAACATGATATATTTTTATGATATTCCTTCTTTAAAGTGTATTCTTCTTTCTGTTGGGGAAATGGCAACTTGATTAAATACTAGAAATTAAGATGGAGTTAGCCTTCTTTCTCTAGAAAAGAGAAGAGGCTATGTAGTGATGCAGCCTTCCGTTCCCGGCTCTGTCGTTAACAAAAAAAAGCAAGCTTCAAAATGTCAGTGTATTTAGAAAAGTCATTCAGATGACAGGAAGCCTAACTTATTTATTTACCTTTTTTCTTTTTCCAGTTGGGGAATGGCGGTCAACGTGTATTCTACCTCTATAACTCAAGAGACTATGAGCAGACATGACATCATTGCATGGGTTAATGACATATTAGCTTTAAACTACACAAAAGTTGAACAACTCTGTTCAGGTAAGACCTTGATTTTGAATATGCTTTCACAATAAATATTTGTTGAATCTAAAAAGCTGATTTACTGAAGATTTGAGCTTTGTGTCAGGATATAGTTGACCTATGAGAACAGCCTGAAGAAAATTTATGAACTGATATATATTTTTGGATATCTGAGTTAAAAGCAAATTATAGAAGGATAGCTTCCCTGAGAAAGCCAAGAAAATGCTAAGCATGACCAGTATTAGCATATCAGAAGGTAAAAGAGATGACTGGGAGGAAACAAAGCAGTGAGCTTCTGTATTAAAAGTACTATAAAGATACTGAAGAAGTATTTTGAGACTGGGAATAAAAGTAGCTGGAAAGTGATAACTGCAAGTGAAATGGTGGGAATACAGGTGAATTAAATGCTCTAAGAGTTGTAAACGTCTGGTAAATGTCATGAAATTTTTGTTGGAGAGTACAGAAAAATATCACAGGTGTAATGATGTGAAGTCAAGTGAGAAAATGGGTTTGAAGCAATCATCATGTAACTGCTGCAAGGTGTTCCTAAAGTTTGCCAGACACATATATTAATCTCCCCAGCATATGTGACAAGACATTTGCTGCAAACCAGTGCAGTAAATGAGATTGGACATACAAGAGACATTCTGAATAACCTGAACAGACTAAAAAAACTGACTACGATTTAATGAAACTGGAAATGTAAGCCCTAAATTATGGAATCTGTTGCTTTTTCAAGATGACAACTAGACAAGTAGAAAAGAAAAGCTGATGCTTTGGCTTTCTCTGTCAGAACAGTTGCCTGTAAACATTGCCCTATGGCAGGTTCTGGCAACCCCCAGCACATATGCTGAGCATGGCACACGAGACCATTTTCCTCAGCACCCACTGGGGCCAGGGAAGCAGCAGCTGTTTGTAGCCTCCTGGCTGCAGCCGGTCCCAGCTCTGGGTAGCTGCTGCCAGCCGGGAGCCTGAGCGGCTCCCAGCAGGCAGTTGGGACTCTGCAAGCCCTGCTGGGAGCAGCCCAGGGTCTGTGGCTATCAGCAGCTACCCAGAGCCAGGGCCAGCTGCAGCCGGGAGGTTACAAACAGTTGCTGCCTCCCCACCCCAGGCCCTGGCTCCAAAGGGCAAAGTGCCCGCACCTGCTGCCTTCCCAGAGCCCAGGGCCGGGGCCAGGGGTGGGAGGGCAGCAGCTGTTTGTAGCCTCCTGGCTCTGGGTAGCTGCTGATAGCTACTGTAAGCAGCCCGGGCTCCGTGGCTATCAGCAGCCACCCAGAACCTGGGCCAGCTGCAAACACCTGCTGCCTCTCCACCCGGCCCCGGCTGTGAGAGGCACAACCCTGCTCAGCTGCCCATGCTGCTCCCATGCACGCAGGGGAAGTGTGGCAGAGCAGTGGGGAGCAGGGATCCCCTGCTGTGCCCTGCCATGCCAGGTTCCAATGCTACTCTGCAGAAGCGGTGAGGACAGCACAGCAGAGAGCATTGCTGGTATGTGCCAACTCCCCAGAGCCTGGGTTTGGGGCTGGGAGGCAGCTGGGGCTGTGGCGGAGAGGCAACAGATGTTTGCAGCTGGCCCAGGTTCTGGGTAGCTGCTGACAGCCACAGAGCCCAGACTGGGGGGGAAGGGGCTTTGGGTGGAAGGCAAAGGTCATGAGCAGAGGTGGGGGGCAAGGGGCACAAGCAGGTCATCCTGCCGTGTACCTCCTGCCCTCATTTTGTTTTTCTAGCATACTGGCACTGTGGCAACTTCCAGGGTAAACATTTTGGGGGTTCTTGGCACTCTGGCCAAAAAACATTGCCTACCCCGTCCTATGGCTTCAGTCTTGTAGCTTATCAAAATGGGATATTGGGTTTTTGTTTGTTGTTCTTGGTTTTAGTTTGATAGAGGAGATTGCTATCTCCAAAATAGGTATTACCATGAATGAAGATGCTCACTAAGAAAGTGAGCATGATGAGTCAAATATTGTTCCACTTATTGGGTGTCTTAAATGTGATCCTCTTGCACTGTGTCAACTCCCTGAAAATCCATGAATATATCTATTTTAGTAACACACATCTCCCTCTTAAAATTGAGTCACAAAATCAATGAGGAGGAGGACCTATCCACTTTTTGTACCGACACATTTCATAGATTGCATAGATTTCATAGACATTTGGGCTGGAAGGGACCCTGGAGGATCATTGAGTCCAGCCCCCTGCCTCAGGGGCAGGAAGTCAGCAGGGATCATAGGATCCCAGCAAGATGAGCATCCAAATGCGTCTTGAAGGCGTTCAAAGTGGGTGCTTGAACCGTCTCCGGTGGCAGTCTATTCCAAAACTATGGGGCTCGGACAGTGAAAAAGGTCTTTCTTATGTCCAGCCTGAGTTGGTCGCGGCGGAGTTTGTGACTGTTCGATCTTGTCATCCCTTGGGGCACTCTGGTGAATAGACGTTCCCCCAGATCCTGATGAACACCCTTGATAAATTTATAGGTGGCCACCAGATCACCCCTGAGCCTGCACTTTTCCAGGCTGAAGAGCTCCATGGCTCTCAGCCTCTCATCATAAGGGCTGTTTTCCTGACCTCTGATCATGCACGTGGCTCTCCTCTGCACCCTCTCAAGCTTCTCCACATCCTTTTTGAATTGTGGACCCCAAAACTGGATGCAGTACTTCAGCTGTGGCCTCACCAAGGCCGACTACAATGGGAGAATGACTTACCTGAGAAGCATGTAGGATGCAAGCCATCGTTTTGTTCACTTTACTAGCCACAGCATCACACTGAAGGCTCATGTTCATTTTGTGGTCAACCATGACCCCCAAGTCCCTTTCATCTGTAGTGCTAACCAGTTTAGCGCTGCTGAGCCTATAAGCATGCTGCAGGTTTTTCCTCCCAAGGAAAGGTGGAGAACCTTGCATTTTTTGGTGTTGAACACCATCAGGTTCTTGTCCACCCATTTCCTGAGCCTCTCAAGATCCGCCTGGATCACCCGTCTGTCCTCAGGTGTTGATGCTTTACCCCAGAGTTTGGTGTTGTCGGCAAACTTGGCTTCTGACACTAATGTCCACATCATTGATGAAGATGTTAAATAGTATAGGGCCCAGGACAGAGCCTTGAGGGACCCCACTGGTCACAGCACACTGAGACGATTGGCTCCTGTTGAGCACCACCCTCTGGGTCCTATCGCGGTGCCAAATTCCCAGCCAGCAGATCATGGTGAGGTCAAGGCCACAGTTAGCCAGTTTAGCCACAAGGTGATCATGGGATACCATATCAAAGGCTTTTTTAAAGTCAAGATATACAACGTTGATCTCTTCCCCCTTGTCCAAGTGATAAGTCACCTGGTCATAAAAGGAAATGAGATTGGTCAGGCAGGACCTACCCGCAACAAACCCATGCTGGATATCCTGCAGGATATTGCCTTCAGCTAGTCTGTTAAGAATAGCCTCTTTGATATTCTTTTCCAAGACCTTCCCCAGGATAGAGGTCAGGCTGCTGGGCCTGTAGGTAGCCAGATCTACTTTCCTCCCTTTCTTGAAGATAGGCACGACATTGGCCCTCTTCCAGTCTTTGGGCACTTTGCCAGAGCACCAAGAGCTCTTGAAGATCCATGCCAGGGGCTAAGCTATGATGCTCACCAGCTCCCTGAGTACCCTTGGGTGTAACCCATCAGGGCCAGCTGACTTGAAGGTATCCAGCCTGTTGAGGTGTTCCTTCACGAGGTCAGCTTCGATGGAGGGCAAGGAATCCCATAGTGGGCAGGGCCATCCCATGGGACTGGTGAAAAACTGACACAAAGTACCCATTTAGCAAGTTCGCTTTTTACTGGGCGTCAGTTGCCCCTTCTGGTTCAGCAGGGGTCCAATGTTGCCCTTGCTTTTCCTCCGGCTCCCCACATATCTAAAAAACAACTTTTTATTTTCCTTGATATTTGTAGCTAGCTGGAGTTCCATCATAGCCGTGGCTTTCCTGGTTTGCTCTCTGCAGGTCTGAACCAGAGCAGAGTATTCCTCCTTGGTGGCAGTTCTCAAGGGAGGACTCAAGTATGGTAGAATAAGATTTTACTTAGATGCCTAAGTCTAATTATGTACCTAATAGGTGGAATAGAATCTAGTCTCACTGTTTAATCTATGACTTTATTTTGTCAACAAACAATTGACTTATCACACTGAACTCTGAGAACAAGTAAATGATACTTTTATCTTAGACCTTTGGGGTGCCTGTAGACATGCTTGTTCACATTCTAATTAGAATGTATTGGAACAGACTCAATTAATCAAGTCTGCTCCACATTCTAACTAGAATGCTTCAGTGTTGCCTCACCATCACCTGTATTAAGCCCACACACATTTCAAAATGACCATGGGGGCGCTTTATCTAAATCTCATTGTATGAGCTTTAGATAAAGTGTCCCGTGGCCATTTTGAAATACACATGAAATTATTACAGGTGATGGTGAGCCACTGTAATTACAGTAGCTGTCCAGGAACCGTTCTAATTAAAATGCCCTCTGTGCCCCCGGCCCCCACCCCCCACTTCCAGGCACGTGTAAACGCAGGCTTTTAATTTATTTTTTCTTCCTACCACTTTTCCTGGAGATGTCCATTTCTGACATAATCTTCCATGAAAGGTGCAGTAAACCTGAACTGACAAAACCTCACTGCACAGCTTAACCAAAGCCATCTGCCCACTCACAGAAATCTCTCCACTTTGGTAAAATTCACCTTAGCACTTACAAAAATAGTGATGACCCCAGTAGCTTAACTAAGGCTGGGAGAGTGGGGCACCAGCCCCAGGTGCAAACTTAAATGGAGCACTAGAATAGAGGCCTCTCCGAGGAGTCTGTGCTGCAGCAGCAGCAGCAGTCGGGTATAGGGACCCTCTTCCAACTAGCTCTCCCCTTGCTGCTGTATTCCCCACTGCCCATTGCTGGTGGCTAAGGAAAGTGGTGGTGGCGGCAGGGGGTGAGAGTGAATACCAGGCTTCGGAAATGCCAGCCTAGAGCACAAACTTTGCTAGTTGCACCTTTGTTTGAACTA